CCAAACCTGGGAACGCCCCCCCCCCCCCCTCCTCCTCCATCTGTGTATGTTCTTCTCTCGCCACCGCCGCGTCATGTATAGTATGTTCTTATCTGTAGCACCAGTCGTACACCTCACTGGAGGTTCTTATTCTTAACAGGAGGTCCGATCTGAGTACGTGTTCTTACGGGCAAATTCTTAAAAATTGTATTTTTTGAGGCTCAAATTCTTAACGTCCATATTCTTAAGTGCGGGCCGGTTCTGTATTTTCGTCTTCCGTTGTTTTCGGATGGCAACCGTTCGTATTTACCTGCCAACGCCAGGTCACTTACTTCCTCTCCATCCGCTTGAAGCTTCAATGCCGTGAAAAAGACGCTCTCATCCCCAGTTGTTTCCTTCTGTGGACCGGCGAGGAGGATACTCCCTTCGCCTTGCACAGCAACAGCGACTACTAACGATTCCTGTTCGGTGGTGCCATCCTGGCAATACCCAGGAGCGGAGAATGCGAAGAACGACAAGAGAGGAACGACAATCTTGTTAGAAGAAAATCAGCTACATCAATTAAGGAGAAATAAATACACGCACAGAAAGACTACCCATTCGAGATATACCCACAGTCGAACGGGATGTGGTGGAGTCTTTTCAGTAAGTGGAGGAAAACCGGCTGGGTACTGGGCTTATTATTTCGAGTCTTTCTAAGTCTATACACTGATGATTTATCAGTGATGCCAGCTCGTGCTAAGTACAAAAACATCTGTATAGGTAAATCGACATTTTACAATACATCCCCTGTAGTTCTCTACTGGGTCAACGACAAAATATCGGGGAGAATCCCTCCGTAGTGTCGTGTACTGTAAGATGTAACCTTCACAGGGGACACGGCGCAGTGTCTATTGCCAGCTTGCTGGATTTAGGAATTTAAGGAGAAATATATAATATTGATGTAGAAATCATGGAAGATGGAAAGAAGGCTACAGCAGTACATTACTCGTTTTTCAAACCTATAGATTTTTGAATTTCACGGGCAGTAGGTGTTTCACGCCGTTTCTTTTTTTTAGAATTCACAAAAAAAAAAAAAACTCATTTGACCCTTTGGGGTAGCGTATCAGTGATGCTTACAGTAGAAGAGAATGGTACACCTGGTGCATGGTAGGTAGGGCATAGCGTCCAGTTTGTATCGTGTTAGCTGGTTTCCTGGTATGTTTGGTGTTGGCAATCACCATCAGTAGAGCACGGAAAGTGTTCAAGTGATATACATACAATGTGGCCATTGTTGTCAACTTCCCTGGTGTTCCTCAGAGCGGTTTGCCGAGACATCTTGTCTAAATACAGATGCGGCACCACCACAGGGATGTTGCTCAGTGACAATAAATTCTCGCAAAAAACATTCCCGGCAGCTACAAGCTTTGACACCTCACCGCACTTGCCACCTCCAAGATTCGTTACCGTCGACATCCAACATAACCACAGCGAAGTTCCCCTTGCCTGCGTTGTCCCCTTTCCAGTCTCCATATATATGTGTACCCCGCCAGTGCAAAGCCCGTCCCATCTGCTGCCTCCGCGACGAAGCTAATTTGGTCCCATCCATCTGTACCATCCTGCATGAAAAGACAGAAACCGAGGGCATCAACGCCCCATTTGTCTATCACAGGCTAAACCTTGATACCTCCAAGCATCAAGCTGTCGATTAGAAAACCTTGGGTATGCATGCATGCCATCAGACAAAGAACAACAAGCACCGTCTTAGTGCGAACTGAGGGGGTATCGCGCGGTCAGTTGCACACGGGTACGCGACAATCAGCGAAGGTGTCCCAAGTGTCCCAATATTCCATGAATGTTTGACACGTGGGCCACGCATGAGGGTCGTCGCTATCGCACCGGATTGCTAGAACTCCGAGAGATGCCGAAACCGGGCGCTCTGTTGCTTGCTACCTACCGCGATTGACGCTGCTAAAACAATTTCTGCATGATGACATCATGCGGCTTTTCGCAATGCGTCTGTCAGATATACGATTTTTCAGGAGGGCTCCACTGATTTCTTTACGAAGGGACAAGTCGTTGCATGTTTTCATGGAAGGAACTATATCGACAGTCAATATAAGCCGAGAAGCCCACTGAAGAACAAAACAGTTGAGTCAACCTAACCCACTTGCGTTGAATCCTACTTGCTACGCACGATACCGAGAAACGCATAACCTATCGCAAAGGTGGAAACCATGTAGTCTACCCCACGTCGCTGGCCACCACATACTGCATGTTTCTCTACAGTAGTTCCTATCAGTAATGCAACGCAAGCGGGGCCTGCATAGAGCTGTGCTGTAGTGTAGAGTCAGCAACGCACGGGTCGACGAGATGGCAACATCAATATCAGAATAGATATATATCCCGGGTTCCTCGTACTACACACATACATTGTACACATGCCTGGTATTTCGTCACACCTTGAATTGCTACCCCACATTAACGGCCTGCACTCTTCCCCATCTACCATGCGTCTGCGTCACTCCCCCAGTTCTTTCGTTTCACCGTACACCCCCACCCCCGCCCCTTCCTTACCCCCCCACCAACATCTAAACACCAAAAATAAAAAACACACAAATGCACTATTACTACTAATACATTTGAGTCCATGTTTGCAAACTAAGTGCCTAGGTACTAACATCCAGGTGTTGTAGATTCCGGAATCTACCTCCGACCCGTGCGTGGACCATTCACCGCGTCATTTGCCCCGGCTGGAGCCCCGTTCTTGTAGCGCCCGATGCTAACGCAATGGGCGCCGTCTCAGCATCGTCCAAATTGGCCCTCATTTACTCCTCCGGTTTCAATCACTGGCCAGCCACGGAGAGCCCCGCAAGATCATCGACGATTGATGACACGTCCACACCTTCCATCACTGCCTGGAAGCACAGGCGGCAAAAGGTGCCATCTCATCAGTTGCGGATAGCAGTAGATCAGTTCGAGCAAAACTTTAACCCCTTCCATGCCCACCATACCCACCGGAACATCACCGGTCCCGTCCCACTCCCAGTCGAAAGTGGCAACCCCAGGGCTCGCGACACAACGGCTCAGTCATGACTTCTCTTAGAAGCCTCGAAGAGCACCTCTACTCGATCCGCACAGCGCCACAATGCCGGGGTAAACAGCTGTGTATTCTCCTTGCTGAACGCCGAGTGGCCTCGTGCAATTACCGCACTCCTTGTGAATCTTGGCGTTACGATACGCGAAGATTTCCGGCAGACGGCACATGAAAAAGTATGACACAGCCAAGCCTAGCCAAAGTACCCTTCCACACTCGCCCCATGCCGCTGCAGTTCGAATGCTGTTCCGGAGAACGGTTCACAAGATGGGGGGCCTCATCCCACCAGCGGTGCGCAGCTTGCCCTCTTTCGCCAAACCCGTATTGGCAGCTCGAAAAATAGTATATGTCATGGGAAGGTAAGTCTTTCACCGCGACTAACTCCCCCACAATTGTGGACATATATTGCCCCGACCGATGAAGAGGTAAGCCATGTACTTCGCGAACTCATCTGCCGTTCCCTCCCTCCCCCCCTCATCGAAGCAAACACTCTTACGTACCGAGACCGCCTATCCGCTCTATCGGCAGTGTCTAAGACGCTAACAAACTCGCAAGCGCCGAAGGAGCAACTACGACCATCAAGAGTAAGAAGACCGCAAGATCTCCGAACATGCCATCTCACCTGCCTTCCCCAAACTGGCCTCATGTCAACATGTATGAGACGGATAGCTCAGTTAGTCTGCGAGAAATATGCGCACGCGCCCAACCAGAAAATCTGTTGGCCAATAACGTTTTCATTATGAGGGATGTGCGGCTTCGAAACACCACCCCCCCTCCATCTCCAAAATACTCCCAACCACCTCATAACAACGCGGCGCATGACTCTCGGGTGCCCCCACACTTGTTGACCCGATTTATAGCTGAGGTATTGTCAAACCACTAACAAACAACGTTTCCCCGGCTACCGGCCGTTTATTGAGTACGGCGATCGTCACCCACGCGTTGATACCCATCGCCAGTGCTTCCAGCAGGTTAATGGACAACAAGTTCTAGGACAAGAAGCGGCATCGGAAGAACGAACTCATTCCTCTTGAGACGGACCATGATTCCACCAAGTTGACCGCTCCCGGCAATACCCCCCAGTGGCGTCGAACGTAGCATCGGAAAATTTATTCCGCGTAGTAGGTGCCCAGTGCACGCGATCATGAAACGGAATAATGCAAAGAAACAAACCCCGCCAAGGTACATTTGCGCCCAGCCCACCTCCACAACTCTATTCCGCGTGAAAGTTCCCACCTAAAACCACCGTCATGTCTTCATTCTCCGCTAGCCCTGTTACAAAACCAAGCCGCCACGCAAAGTACGTTTCTGCCCGTACTACCGTGGTTAGGTGCCGAAACTCCCGAGTTAAAATCCATTAGCCCGCCGGCGTGTGCTCGGCCACTCCACCAGTCACGACACTGCATCGTCGAACTCTTTCTTGGGAATGACAGTCGTCATGCCTGGCGTGTCTATCACGTACTGCAGAACTATCTTGCTTACCTGATCAGTCTGTGAGTTTGTTCTGCGACATGACAGGCATGGGGTTGTCTGCCGCTGTGCTTCCTAGCATGTGGAGGTGGTCGGAAACAATAATTGATCTGGTGGCTACGAGCAATCGTACTTAATTGCTCATGAGGACTCGTCTCGAGATTAGTCGCATCACCGGCATCCCTCACGCCGAAACATTTGCCAGGCGTGTGGGCGCTTGCAAAGGGCTCAACGGAAGCACCCAGCGGTGCTCAAACAGCCCCTTCCCCAGGCGGCAAAACCCGGACCTGTACGTTGTACGCAATTTCGTCCGCGTCCGGCAACACGTTCGCTTTGGATGTCGATGCGAGTGCACAATAGCCGACGCCAGCAAGGACTATCATCCAGGGCAGTTCCTCCACCCAACGGCGATCCAAAAATTGATCGCCAAAACGTCGCCCACAAAATACGCGAGAATAGATGGGTGCTTTGTCCCACTCAACATGGGTCCGATAAGATCCGTCCGCCATGTCCACCTTTGCGCTGAAAATAGGACCTTTTCTTTCCCGACAAGCACGCGCGTGTCTCGTGATGCTCGCTAGGACCGCGCCGTGTTCCCTGACGGGTGATGTGTCGAAAATCAAGTGTCACCGCTCACCCCCATCCTGCCGTTTACCATCTCCACCCGCAAAACTAGGCGAATGCAGTATCACTCGGTTTTATTGTGCGATTCGACCACTGCTAGCGGTGAAACATGCAAGTGCCTAATCTCGAGTGCTACAGAAATATATGCATACGACACCACCACCCTGCAATGAATGAGATCCTTCATGAGTCTTTTCCTCAACGTGTGTTGGTTTTGGGGAAGCGCTGGAATGATTGCCGTATTTCGGCGCGGCGAACCAGTCTCCCCCTTTACCAAAAGTAACCGGCACACCTCTGCATGTCCCCACACCACTTGATTTCAAATGCCTCGAAACCAACATACATCTGTGTCCTGCCATGAGCTCACCCCCGAGATACTTGTGATGTTACCCAAATGGCCATCGAAGTGCGTCGCCACCTCGGTGGCCACCCGATGCATTAGAATTGCGCCGCCTGCTGTGGCCCTTGATCAGAAAACAACCTCATCGAGTTGTTGACACAGCTTCTGGAATCAAGGTTGGCGAAGGTTGCCGTGCCTTTTGTGGATGCCTGGAATTTCATCGGAACAAGCAGACATACTGCGTTTGAGATCCGCCTCCATCCATAAATATGTAATGTATCTGCGGGTGACGCTGTGGAGAGACACGAAGAGTATCGAACTCCCACACCGGCACAAACCCGCCCATACCCGTGCCATCCTTCGAATATGAACTGTATGTGTCAACGAGCGCCAAGTCCATTGGGAAACAACCATTGAACCCGCCAGCTACCCGTCTGTGCCTTGTGACGCCTCGTCTGTCTCGGTGCACGCAACGTACCTGGAGAAATATAGGAATGCACTACCGAGCCCGCTCCGCCATGGCACACCCCGTGGGTTTCGGTCAACGCGAAGTCCCCGGAGAAAGAACGGATGCAACTGCCACGCCACAGTTGAACGTCCCTTGTTGCCTTTGGGGTGTTTCACCTGAAAGAAAATCCAGGAGTTTGGACATAGCCAACGTGCCATGCCACCACCACCCGCTCGAGCGTCGAAGTATTTTATACCGGTTGGTGATATGATTAGCTATGCATTGTGCAACCAAACACCAACAAACAACAACTCGACCCATCTTTGCGTGATAAGCACAGACTCGCAACGCCGCACCACGCGCTGGCAATAACCGCCACCAAAGCGGAAACGCGCACCGTGCCCCATGCACACACGTACCATCTCCACCACCAACGAAAACCACTCATCCATCATCTCCTCCAGCGAAACGGACTCCAGCAGCGAGGCTCCCACTTCACTATGGACCTGGACCCCCCTTCGCCATCCGTGGTCCACCGATTTTGGTTGTAACCTACCTCCTTGCCACACTCAATCGTCCCCAGGTTTCGCTGCTGGTTCCGCGCTAGCACGGAGCATGTACCCCTAGTGAGAACCATCCCGACCACCGCCTCCCCTTCCCGGACCCCCAAATCCCCCGCCGCCCTTGAATCCATCACTATCCCCACAAGCAGTAGCTG